ACTTTCAAAATAAAACCAAAAGCCTCTAAAACCCTGCTTCCATCTTTCTGTTTGTAAAATGTTACATGAAAACAGCAAGAAACAAGTTTGGGGGTAATTTTGCAAGCTAATGAAAAATGCTTGTACAAGTTCAAGGTTTGCAGATTTGACTTGAAGGCTGAAGGAAGTAATTGGTTATTAAGATGAGTCATCGCTTTCCTAAAGAGTAGAGCTATTGCATTCTCACGCACTGCACCTCCACACTTGGAATCCACACTAGCGTTCCTCGTGGTTGAAACTCCATATTAAAATTACCCACACTTCTTCACTGCATCAAGAGCCGTCTTGGGGCGGGAACACTGGGTGACTGGGTGCTGAGCAGTAGGAGAAACGCATAAAATAAGGAAGAAGGAACCACAGCTCGGTGCCTTCCGTCGCTCCAGTCCTCCAGGTCCTCGCAGTTCCATCTTCTTTTTGCTCTACTTTTCTTTATTCAACCCATCTTCTCTACAACTTTCGACCACATGCGCTGAAGACTGGTGGCTTCTGCTGGATGAGGCTAAGTCTCATTTCTCACTCTTGGTATCCAGAATCAGGCCTTTCCACTTGGGAAATCCTTGCCAGCACCTAAATGCAAGGTTTTTTTTCACTCTTTACTCTTTGGAGGGCATGGTGGGGGAGCATTTCCCAGCTCCAAAATAAATATAAGGAGACTTATTTTTTTCTTGTGAATGTCCAGTTTTAGCTTGACTTTTTTTCTATCCAGATTTTCTTAAATTGTCTCATCTACCTTTGCCTCTGGACCTTTACTTTTTCTGTTTCTGTGTATATTTTCTTTTCTTCTTACTCCGTGTCTGGCTGTGTGGTTGGGTGGCTGGCTGGCTCCAGGCATCCTTTTCTCCTTTTTTCAATTCTTCCTTTTCTCTTTTTCTTCTCTTCTTGGCAGGCCTGCATTTCTCTCTCCTGCCAAGCTATTAACCACTCAGCTCTTTATTAGAATCAGGTGTTTTAAACAGGCAAAATAACACAGCTTCACGGAGTTAAACAAATGCCAAGTAAAAGAATGCAACAGATCTTTGTATCATTAAACAAATGTTCCACAGCACAAACAAATGTAACACATCTTCAACTAACATTCCACAACACCTAACTGAAAAGGAAAAAGAAACATTGGGAATGTCTGAGAGTATCAACTATCCAACTATCTCCAAGTATCCAACCTGGGGTTAGAAGCAGTGAAAGAGGGATGGTGGCGAATGTCGTGTACCCTTAAATGACCATCATCATGGGATTAACCAAGTCTTGGAGTGAGTCTACAGAGCATCTGGAAGATAAATACGGTCTAAACAAGAGGCTATACCATGTTCATAGATTAGACGTCTCAATAGATAAAGATAGCAAACCATTCCTGTTTCCCAGATGAAAAACTAATGTACAAAAAATATTTAATAATTTCTCCAAGGCAGCTAATAGTAGGTGATGTGGGAAGTCCTGTGATTATGTCAATAAAGCACTGTTGGGTCAATAGCAATCTAGATAGGTGGGACTAGGAGTCCAGGAGGACTCTGGGAAGGAGGAACACAGAGAGTCAAGATGTAACGCCATGGGGTAGTAAGCCCAGAACTATTCTCCAGTAAGAGACATACTTAGATGAACAATTATGGGATAATTACTTAAGTCAGAGCTAGCCAGTAAGAAACAAGCAAGGCCAACAGCTTCATAATTAATATAACCTCCTGTGTGTTTATTTGGGACTGATGCAGCTCTGGAACCAGGCTTGCGGGAAGGCTTCTCTCAAGGAAAAAAGCTTCCCTTTACAAGTAGGTAAAGCTGTGAGCCAGAGATAAGCAGTGTAGGCCCAGAGGCTGTGCAACCAGCCTGGCTTTTCTCCGGATCGTTCTCTTGCTGTCTTCACAGGCACTGAGTTATCTCCTCCATGTGTGCTTCCTCCACAACAGAGAATGAGAACATCTTATTCACCTTGGCATCTGCAAGTGCCCCTCGTGTTTATTGGTAACATGTCTAATCATTGGGATTTACGTGTCTGTCTTCAAAGCATTTTATGCAAGTTAGAACAAAAACATAGCCCCAGATTTAATAATGATTCTTGAGAAAAATGGCCTTCTCAACTGTTCTCCTTTCCTGTTGTTTTTTTTTTTTTTGAGTCTTTAAATAATTTAAATGGCAGGTCTAGAATTTATTTTTTTAATACTGTTTTCTAAATAGGAATTTTGAGGACATTTCTCATTATTATATTAGTTGAGAACAAGAATTATGCAATTTCCTGTTTTGTTTTTGTAGTAGGGGTGCCTAATAAATATTAAACACTGATGCCACCATTAAAGACTGTAGAATTATAAAGAGGAAAACACAAAGGCCTTTTATTTTTGGGGGATAAAATTTATGGCTAAAGAGGGGCAACGAGAAAGGATGTATTTATACCACTTAGGTTTACAACAGAATACTAAATCTGGCAGACATTTACGGGGCATGTGAACATGAAATGGTTAGTATCACCCAAAATTAGTCCAAGAAGCGGTGGTGGGGTGCTCCTAAGCTGGACTGTGGAAGACTAAATTTGCCTGTCTGTGTGGTGCTTTTCTAGGCTTCAAGGTCTTTGCAATAATGTAAGGCACCAACCCTCTCAGAACTGACCACTTTGGTTACAATAAATCTAAATGACCTTTTTGCATGCCTAGGGTTTTATGGAATTGATGTCCAGAATGTCTACAGAGAAAATGATCTAAAGATGATCAATTTTAACACTCAGTAGTCAGAAGAGGGAATAAAACTTTTTGCTGGTAACTAATCCTTTGTCTTTGCATCAGTAGCCAAGCTGGCGTGAAAAATCTGCATACTCATAACCACTAATATTTTTTATTATACCAATTATTGTAAGTGCAATGCATTCAGCCAACAGGGAGAGATAGGACTTTTAGATTTCTCCTTGAAACAAATCACACCAGCCATTCTGCATTTGAGCCAGAATTCTGTCCACTAAATTCTACACCGGATATCTGTTTGTTAACCAATGTTGTCCTTGAGCTATACAAACATTTACTTATGTGATCATGATGGCTTCCAGTCCTAGTGTCAGCATATTTCTGCTGTACAAACCCTTTCCAGGAGATACTCTAGCTCAAGGAACAATCACATGACACCAGCATAGTATCTCATCAATCACATTATCTCCAATGATTTGATACAGGTAATTGAAATCCTTTTGTTTATAAATCTATCTTGGATTAAACATTCATGGCACCTGCACAGTAGACAGAAATACAAATAAGGTACTCCACCTCTAATGAAAGTTTCATGGAATATGCTCAGAGCAGCAGTTGTGTGGCCTGAGCTCCGGGCTGTGATCCAGACACCTCTCCTCTCCACAGTCAGGCTGCTTCTCCATCTGAACAGCCTCCTTATTCCAAGTCCTCGCTTGATCTAAATGGATACAGAGATCTCAGCCCAGGAACAAAGTCCTCTAGGGCTGGATTTAAATGAAATTACTGAGAAAATTTTATTTCTTGACAAATGGAGGGGAATCTTCAGGTAAGAATCATAGGTAAGATGTCATTGTCTCGCTTCTCCAAACTGGGGATTCTAGATGTTTAAGTCATCAGCTGTGCGGGCTGCATGGTAAGTTTCCATGACAGACTTACATTTAAAATCCCATGCATCTGTTTGCTGACAGAGACTCCCTAGCAAGACAGGGTCTGGGGGGAGGCGTGAGGATGTGAGGTTTAGATGGACTGAGTCATTTACCTGATGTTTCCTCTTTCACTTACAGGTTGGGAACCAATAACACAAATCCTCAGGTAATTACTTTCTCAAAGCCAATGTATTGTTTCTCTAGTTGCTTCTTCAAACAATCACATCAGACAGCGTTCTTTGCATTTTCTGAATGCACACAATGTCACTCAGGCACTGGCATTTAACGTGGAAAAGGGAGAAGGGTAGAAATACCTTGGAAGACTTTTTTCTTCATAAATTTCTCTCTCTGCTTTTGGTCTGTTTGTGTTTGTTTGTTGAGACAGGGTTTCTCTGTGTAGCTTTGGAGCCTATCCTGAACTCGCTCTGTAGACCACACTCACAGAGATCCACCTGCCTCTGCCTCCCAAGTGCTGGGATTAAAGGCGTGCGCAACCACTGCCTGGCCTTTCCCTACTTTTAAGAGCTATTTTTCATCAGTAAGCACACCATAATGCTATTATTTTAGAAAAGGTGATATTAGAATAGGAAGTTCTTACACTTATTAAAAATAAAACTACCCTGTGACAACCCGACTGTGGTCATGTCCCTAAAGAAAAGTAGTTTTAAAAATAGTTGTCTTTAAAGCTACTTTTCTTTAGGCGTCTTGGCTGGGTGTTGGTGGTGCACTCCTTTAATCCCAGCACTCAGGAGGCAGAGGTAGGAGGATCTCTGTGAGTTCGAGGCCAGCCCAGTCTACAGAAAGAGTTCCAGGACAACTTCCAAAGCAATACAGAGAAACCCTGTCTCGGAAAAAAAAAAAAGACAAATAGTTGCCTTTATTGGCTCCCGAAAAGTTGTTCTCCCTTGCTGTTTTTAAATAAGGAAAATAAAATTATATTCAGGTGTTGAAAGGGCATTTTCCCATTTCTCTGTAAATTAAAGATGTTTGTAATCTGTATAGCCTAAAAAGACGTAACAAGGTCTTGACCTTGGATGTCAGAGTGCACCTCAGTCTCTAAACCAGTGTGGCACAAGCCCTTGAGGTGACTTTTCCCGGCACTAACATATGTGATCAATTGAACTGTCAATATTTTAACTACATGGTTAAAGCACTATCCTTCTTGGGAATAACTTGTGAGCAAAAGCCTTATTTTTTTTTCTGAAGTTCCCTTAGCCACAGTCTAAATTAGAATCAGGGAGATAACACCTCCAGTTTAGTTCTGGAAATATTAAATGCCCATAGTTACCACTGGGGAGATAGGACACTCAGAAGATAAGACGGTTTCTGGAAGGAAAGAGTCAGTAAATGCCAAGTTACACTTTTACACAGGATGGGTAAGCGTCCATTGGTACGAATGTGATGATTTCCCATTCGGGTTACAAAATCCCCCCTCAGCCCATCAGCGTCTGTGGTTTAGATGCTGTGTTCATGAGATAAGAGAGCACCCTCACCTCTAGGAGTGCAGAAACTCTGAGAAGGCAGAGCTCTTCGTGGTCACTCGGGAAGCTGTTCCCATCACACCAGCATAGGAACGAGTAAATTGATGTTAACGGACTCAGAAATGACACAAGCATCAGTTGGGAAACGTGAACATAGATTTTTTTTTATTTTTAAAGGTAGGGTGAGTGTTTTAAGTTGATAGTCCCTTGAGGAAGACTAAGAATCAGAAAGAATTAAAGGGGTGGGGTGGGGGTGGGGGTTAACCCAATCCTTTGATTGTCCGGTTAACGAGATAACAGAGATAGCCTGACCTGGACGGATGACTCAATAACACTTACAAAACACTGTCACCTCAAAACAAGACAGAAGGGGGCGACGGGACATCTGCAGTCTTCCCCAAACATAATTCCAAGTCAAGGGGCTGATAGCATTAATTATGTTTCCATAGTTACAGTTCACCGTCTCAGTCCCTCAAAACTCAGGAGCAATCCCTTTGACACAGACACTGGGCTTTTCCAGCCCTTTCCCACGGCTTATCACAGTTTCAGACATCTTTAGAAGTGGGATTTAAGACAACCTGATGCTGGCAGACTTAAAAGCCCTCTCTTCACTAGCTGCCTGCCTTGCTTTCCGTGACGTTTCATACAGGTTGGTGACGGCAGTCACGTGTCTGCTGAGGAAACTGGAGACAGATCACGGATGCTTTGGTCCAAAGGACGAGGACAGTTGCCCTCCAGTAGCTTTTGTCCGACCCCCAAACTCTCCATCATCTCTTCAAAACTGAGTGGTTTTCCCATCTCCCCAGCCATGGCCACAGTAAGTACCGCTTGTCAATTAAACATGAAACGAAACGCGATCCTCCCCCAGTCAACAACACTGGGGAATTGGATCTCCCGTCCCGTGAGGGATTGCCGGAGATGAGACCACAGATGGCTACTATTGGTAACAGGAGTATATAATTCAAATGACTTATTTATGGTAGTTGTCAAGGACACTGGCGGTGACTGTCTTTTCCTCACAGACTCTACTTCTCTTTATGTCCTCAACCTGACAGTTATATTTGAGGGAGGGCAAGAGTTACATTCTAATGGTTTGTTACATGACGTGCCCTATGACAGGCCCTCTAAGTGACAGATGGATGAGAGCTACAAATGTGTGAAAAGGACAGGCGGGAGAGAGAGAGAAAGAGGAGTTTGAGGGGTCTGGTCTTAGAACAAGGCATTGATCTCAGAAAGAAACGGTTTTGGGAGCTATCAATTAATACATAGACTTAAAAAGAACTTGACAGACCAGGCATGATGGCACGCATCTCTAAATCCAGCACTCAAGGGGCAGAGGCAGGAGGAGCTCCCTGAGTCTAAGGCCAGCCTGGTCTACACGTTGAGTTCAGGACAGCCGGGGCTACTGAATTCAAGTCTTGGCCCTCGTGAGAGTGAGAATTTTGTCAGAGGCCTAGCCAGGGATTAAAAGCAGAGTCACTCTATAGGGTCAAACAAGCCAGGGCTGGCAGCAAGGTTCTGTCAAGAGTCAGAAAGAGCTTCTGTCATGGTCAAAAGACATGGGAAGTGGGGTGAGGTTAAGCCAGGAAAAGGTACCAGCTGGAGTGAGTGGTCTCTCTGGTTAGGTTGTCCAATAGGACCCTTTAAATCTTAGTGACGCTTGGGCTTCCAAGACAACGCCCCATACTCTCCCCGCCCTCCAAATGTCTATGCCACATTCTAGAACCTCAAGGGTTAAAGACTAGTGTTAGCAGAAGCACTTCCTTCAAGACAAGTGTCCCTGGACAGTTGCAAAGACAACCAAAGCATCTTGGCAAAGACCAACAGCATTCGCTGTGTGACCAGACACACCACACACATTCGAGGCTAAAGTTTGTGCACACTACTAGGGTCCACCCAAACTGTCACGTAAAGTCTCCATTGGGTTTCTTGGGCACCAAGGTGCTTTCTCATAGGCAGATCCGTCTTCCTCATGCCTTTTTTTCCTCTCCCTGGCCCACAGAACAGGCAGGCAGCCGAGGTCGCATAAGATCCAAGACGCTCAACTCCATTGAAGCCTGAAATGGAGTCTGAACTTGTGCCTTAGATTCCCAGTTAGCTGTTCTCTTCTTCCCAAGGAATGAACAGTAGTGGGTAACCCTGGGAGTCCTGTCTCCTCAGAGGTTACGATGTCCACGCTGTGACAGAGTTCAGAAGTCACAGCAAATGCGCCCACTCATGTCTAGCCCAGTACCTTAAATGTTCCAAAGCCCACTGGCATCACAAGAGGTGAGTTCCACACCTGACATTGTGTTGTTGGGGGAGAAAAACCAGGCACACTAAATGTCATATCAACTTCCTCGTGCAATGGGATCAAGGTGTATATAAAGTGTAACTAGCTTCATATTCGTAATTGAGCCCTGTTCCCAAGGTATCCTAACACACACACACACATACACACCTGACTGTACACACATAATATTCCAGAATTTGAAACATTCCAAGTGCTCTGGGTGAGGGTCACTCAGCTTGTCTATGCGTCTTACTTGATAAGACAATGTTCTTTGACATCTATAAGAAGTGTCTATGTAGATTATCATCTTAAAATTTACATGTCTGAAAAACAGACTACCTTTTTATGTGAAAAAGAGAGAAAATTGTGACTCTACATTGGTGTTTGCCTGGAAATAAAGAGATAAATTCTGCAAGGCTTCCTAGGCCACGAGGGGGTGCGGGACAGGGAGACTAATGGGAGGGATCCTTGTTTTTCACAGTACACATTTTGTACTCTGGCTTCTGAGTCACACAATGTACTGTCTATTTTTAAAACACACACACATTTTAAAAATAAAAACAGCGCTCGCAGATGTTTGGGAGCCGCGTACTGGGAGGCAGAAGAGCACAGGCTGGAAAGCTCCGCTCATTGGCAAACCCAAGCAGAGGCCAGGGGAGGTCTCCCCGCCTCCCCCCAGGCAGTTCTTTCCCTGCAGAAAAGGCTGTAAAACAAAAGCTTCCAGCGTGGTGGAAATGGAGTTGATGGAGTGTTAAGGAAGTCCCAGAAGTGGAGAGAATTGATTTTTCTTTAAAAAATGAATTTGGATTTATTCCCAGTACGTGGCCCAGATGCTAGCGTGCCCTCTGAATAAGGGCAGCATTCATTAAACACACCTTGGGACTGCACCTCGCAGCGGCGTCGGGATTCTCAACGTGCCTGGTCTTGGAACCCCTGACCGGTTCTAATCAGCATTTCGGGAGTGCAGCCGCCTGGCAAATTATCAGACACTCTGAGTCAAAGCACTCACTGAATGTCTTTTGTGTAGCTCTGGGCGTGATGCACGATGCTTCCTGACAGGGTGCAGGCTGTCTCTAGGCTGGGAACTCTCCTGGCCCCCAGGAAATGGGGGCTGGGTGCAGCAACCTGCCCGCCTGCTCCAGCCTCACTTCTCGGGTTTCTTGCCTTTTCTTGCCTTTTGTCTAAGACTAGAGTGTTTTTCCTTCCCGACTTGGTGGACGGAATGGGTTGACAGCCCCTGATGAAACAGAAAGAGTCATGACCGTCATGACCGCTAGGCTCTTACCCAGTCCTGTCCAATAGTCCTCCATCCCTGTGGTCCCCGATCCCCATCCTCTTCTGGTTCCAGACCCTTCTCCCTCACCCAGCTTGGAACACGTTCTGGTTCCAATAACCAGATTGGCAACCAATAAACAGACCCTGATATAGCTGCGAACCTCCCCACAATTCTCATAGTAACAAATGATAGCAAGAGATGAACAACGGGGTCTGCTAGAGGGACAGCAGGTGTGTTTGTTGGTGTTGGAAGGCAGAGCCTGGTGCCCCAGCGTGAGGTCTGGTTCCTAGACAGGGAGTTCTTAATTGTCTGTCTCTGTGTGTCCCTCTGAGTCATTTTAGGACCCATTAGTGAATTTGCTATGAACCACCATCCATCATGCTTTCGCCCATGAGCCTCAACTGCAGGGTTATAAGGGAGGCACCCCTACCAATAGGGAAATCTTTACTTTGGCTTCTGCTGGGTTTGGGGAACGGGGAGAGGAAAGAAAAACTCAAACGAGGTGAGAATGCTCCTTTTCCTCTCTCGAGACCCCGCCGCCTCCCACCTAGAGGTCATAAGTGATGACTCCCACTCTTGTGCTATGGGTAGCCCCCCAGAAATGACACAGTTTATAGACAACTGAATGCCTTATTCCTGCCAGCTGGGACCACACCCAGGTATACGGGGATCTAGTTAGGTGTGATCCCGAGTGTCCAGAGAGCAGGCTTTTGAAGGCAAGACCGACAACCTGGCATCTTGCTTGGCAGCCACAGAGGCGGGGTTAGGAGGCTTTGCAGAAGCAAGCAGTTTAGCAGAAGCTAAGTGGCTATCTGTAGGAGGTTCTGCACGAAAAGGCCAAGTTAACTAGGACATCCTGACCTTGGGTTCCTAGAACAGAGTGGGTAATTTCCCATGGGATTCTCCAGCAAGGAGATCAGTTTCTAGTGAAACGTGAAACAGCCTCAGCAAGCATGCAAGGTGGAGGAACTGTCACAGTTGTTTGCCCCGAGGCCCCATGCAAGCACACAGCACCGCGGTGACCCTCCGCCCACATGTTTGTAAATCGTCCTGCATTTGTAACAAAATCCCCTCTCTCCTGGCTCCGTGTTCCGTCCTGAGGATGGTGATTGTGACGATGACAGTCATCGTCATTCACGCGAGTGCCACGCGTGCACATCCGAACAGGTGAGGATACGGACTGCAGGAGCCAATGCCCAATGTAGGTACTGGATGTGTTGGGAGAATGACTGAGCACCTGTTGGGATGCCTATGTTGCAAGGACTGGAAAGTTAGACTAGAAACGCCGTGAACTGGTTTATTGTGCTGAGTAATAGCGACCATTACAGTCATCTTTTACAGCCCTCTAGTTCCCAAGCAGCACAACATATAAATATCCTTAAGTGCGAGTCAGCTTCATTTTATTATAAGTTTTATCTGATATGAAAATGAACATTATGTAAGTAAGATATCATTTTGTCACACTGGCTGGGGGCCGGGGAGGGGGGCCTCCAGCTCCCCGCTCTTGAGTGACCCTGGGGTGCAAATGGAAGTTGAGGGCGGCAGATAGCAGCAGCAACAGGAAACCTGGCTGGAATCAAAGTCGGTTTTACATTGAATGTGCATCTTGAGCCTTCTTAGCCTTAATCTTTCAAATGTATTCCTCCCTTCTTGCCAGACTCCCATCTGTGTTGGGACTTTCTCCACGCTGCATAGACAATTACACACTGGCAGGCAGTGTTTTCGCGTGGATGCTGGCATTCCACATTCACCCAGCACTCATGGCTCCCAGAGCCCCTTTCCATCCCTCTCCGTCAACAACTGGCATGCTGTGGCTACCCCACTTTGCCGTACGGAAATACGGACCAAAGATGGTCTCCACGGTCAATGGGATCAGAGTCAAGTCGGAGCTTCTCGGTCCTGGGGTTGGAGACTGTTGATCCCATGGATTCCAGGAGAAAGACCACTGGCTCACACCACGGCCAAATTAGTTAAAGCAAACTATTAGTTAAGGCAAGCTTTTTTATTCTTATACACAGGCTCTCTCTCTCTCTCTCTCTCTCTCTCTCTCTCTCTCGGTGGGGTTCAAGAGATCAGAATTGGACATGGATGAGATAAGGGCCTTGTAGCTCAGGAGAAGGGGGTTTCTAAGTGGGGTGTCTGGCAGGCAAATACGCAGGGGTCACAGAAGCAGAACACAAGTTGGTCATAACAACCCCCTGAAGCAAAGACATGGAGGCAAGGTAGTCATAACGTGGTGTTTGCGGCAAGGTGGTCATAACAATGGGTGGGCATAGCAATGCAGCCTTAACCACAGGTGGTCATAGTAGCCCTTTTTAAGCAAAGACATGTTTGCGATTCCTGGGTCAGGCAGTACAGAACCGTTTGTAGTTAAGGTTAAGGTGGACATAGCCCAATCCCTGAGAAACAGGTTTATTCCTAATCCCTGAGAAACAGGTTTAATCATAAACAGTAGTGAGCCTCGTTTGCCTTTACTATAAGATGGCTTTCAAGCCTAAAGTCTTTCTTCTGGGCTATTCAAACTCCAAGTCTGTAGGAATCACTTCTCGTTGGCTTGTGATGATGCTTCCCCTGCACACATGGTGGGGGGGGGGGAGCCGGGGAGTGGCCTCTTTGCCACATTGGGCTCCTTGTCTTGTATCTCCAAGGGCAGCTACTGGGCATGTTGGCTGCTTTTCCTTGCCAAGCCCTTGCCCTGAGAACCAGCTCAGAGAGCTTTTCTTTAAGACTACTCCGCTCTGGTTCCCAAGGAAAAGTCTAGTGTCTGTGAAGACAGTCTTTTCTTGAAGGTGGGCACGGAGCTGGACAGAAATCAACTCCAGCTGTGAAACCTGCCCCTGGGCTGGAAGGGAACAGCATGCCAGGTTCACGCTCCTTCTAGTTCTCCTTCTGCAAACCCAAGGGACCCAGGAAAAGGGACCCCGGCCGTGGACCCGCTGGACTCTGGAGTCAGTTAGTTCTTGTTCTGCAATGACCGGCTCCAAACACCTTGGCACGATATTTAAAGCCCTCTGGGGTCAGGCTTTCTTTCCATTCTCGGTGTTTGTGTCACCCTCTGCCCCCTCCCCAGCTTCTCAGCTCTCAATCCCAGGACACCTTTGACATGAGCCTGCCTTCCTCTCTGTTCAGACCCTCTGCTCCTAGAGATGTGGCATTACATAACACACCACAAATCTGTTGTCTTGGAGGGAGTTATCCCCTTCCCCACTTTGGCAGGCCATGGGTGATGGGGGACGACCTTCTATATATATGTTTCTCTTATTGGTTGATGAATAAAATGCTGTTTGGTCAGAGAGGCAGGAAAACAGGTGGGGATAGGAGAGGAGGAGAATTCTGGGGAAGGAAGGCAGGGGAGAGCTCACCAAAAAACAATCGCCGTGTAGACCGCCAAGGAGTAACAGGTTCAAGCATTCTCCCAGTAAGCCCAGACCATGTGGAAATACATAGATTAATAGAAATGGGTTAAAAATTAAGACAAAGCTAGCCAGTAAGGAGCCCTAGCCATCGGCCAATAATTTTATAATGAATATAGCGTCTCCAGTTGTTTTTCTGGGACAAACGGTGGCAGGACCTGGCGGGACAGGAGAGCTGTCAGCAGCACGTGGGGACAGACTCCACAGAGGACAGGACACACCTACTCCTCTTTGAAACCTCTCCCCTCTCTGGTGACAAAGAGCCGAGTCACAGCAGCAGGCTCCAGCTGTAATCCTTAAAACTGCTCAGCTTCCGTTTTACTTCTCTGATGACGTGTGACAAGTGATTTTGTTTCTCACTAGAGGAAGTGGTAAAAGTGTCCTTTTACAACAAGCCTTCGCTAAATCACAAAAGCAACCCCATTTATTAACTGAGCAGTGGGGTGCACACAAAAAATGAAAGGTAAAGATGGAACATACAGAATCAAACTGGGCGACACAATTGAGGAACGGGTGCAACTTCATTGTTTCTGCTAGCTTGGTGATGGCTAGTATCTCCCTTCTCTGCCTCCAGACCCCAAACTAGATAAGAGGAGGATGCTAAGTGTCTTAGTTTCTTTTCTTTTCTTTTTTTTTTTTTTTTTGTTTTTGTTTTTGTTTTTCGAGACAGGGTTTCTCTATTGTTTTGGAGCCTGTCCTGGAACTCGCTCTGTAGACCAGGTGACCTCAAACTCCCAGAGATCCCCTGCCTCTGCTCCCGAGTGCTGGGATTAAAGGTGTGTGCCACCAACGCCCGGCTGTGTCTTAGTTTCTTATATTAAGTTTGTCTCACACAGTAGTGCTGGCTTGCAGAGGAAATGAGACACAGAGACGCAACCAGACACATCAAAATTTCCGGGACAGTGCCCTAAGAAAACCTGATGTGAAAGCTTTGCCCAGGACTTTTTACAGTGAAAACTGAAACTCGAGGCTGAGACAAATCTGAACATAGATGAGAACAAGACTGGATGACTTCACCAAGAGGGTCGTGTCCAGGAGGATCTACCATTGGTCGAATCATTTATTTCACTGTTCTTTTTATCCCCCTTTTTCAGATGTTGCAACGAAGTCTCTTTGGGAATACCGTCCATGTCCTGGGCAGCGTCTGGAGGAAGGCACACTTCAAGTTTCACAGTCCTTTTTCTGATCTGGCTTTTGCTTTACAAGTAGAAAAGGTGACAGCTGGCTCGGTCACTTCCTGTTCCTAGTCCCGTCTTGCTGGTCTAAACTTCTATATGGATGCACGTGTCACTATAATCAAATGCAGGAATGAACGTGCATCTATGAATGACAAAAGGCTCTTTAATGCTACCAAATACTGGTTAGGCTCTAACCAAGTCCTCATCTCCTTATCCCTCCAACCCTTCTCAATTCTCGTCGTGCTGCTTCTCTCCAAATTTCGAGCCCCCAGAAAGATTTGCAAGGCAGAAAGAGATCTAGAAAACCTTTCTGGCTTGTTTGAAATATCAGTAATTCACGTCAGAAGTCACTCATCACACCTCAATTTCAGGGGCTAGCCAACTGGTTCCTTGCCTCCTTCCTGAGGGGGCCACAGGAAGCTGGTAGATGCTGGCTTGCTGATGGCATCCAGCCGTAGCCCACAGAGAAGGTGACGCAGAGGAGCAGGGCCCTTTGCTAAGCTCCCAGGAGACAGCACAAAGGGAAGGTTGCAGAGGAGCACAAAGGAGGACAGCGTCCAGTTCCGAGACTGACTTCCTGTAATGCTGTCCCTGGGGTTTCACTGGAAGCGCCCTCACCCAGCTCCAGCCGTGCACCTCACTGGCCTTTTAACCCACTTCAGGGAGGAGCCCAGAGCATTCAGATGGCTGTACAAGGTTGCGTCATCAAATACTTACTGTTTTCCAGAGAGGAAAAAGACGGCGGCCTTCACAGGTAAGAGGGCTGTGGCTGGTGAGTGCATACAAGGTGGCCTGGTGACCTAGCATCTTCACATGCTCAGCAGCCACAAAGAATTCTCGGGTTGCCTCAGGAAGGATGCCGGTGCTTTAAGACAGAAATGGCTCAGGTTCTCCCAGAGGGGCTGGGTTAACCAGGGGAGGGCGCTCCTGAGGTCACACTCAGTGTTCACCTACAGAATAAGCTTGACAGATTCCGTGGCCTACTGCAGACCACGGGCCGGGTGAAGTGAAACACAGGGTTTGAGGTGTGCTGAGTTTCCCACGTGAGATGGGCAGGCCCGACATAACGTCCCTACAGAGACTCGGGCAGCGATGAAGGAGCCCACAAATGAAGGAGTCATCTTCCTACTTAACCTGCTGATGTGGAACCCTGTTATGCTCACACTCAGATCAGCCTATTAGAGGGTGAGGAAGCAGGACTAGGAGGGAGAGACACCTTCAGGATGGGGTGGTCCCCAGACGTCTCAGTGAGACGCTAGGCGGAGCCAGGGAACCCACGCTGCTCTTCAGTCTGCCCACCTTCGGCAGGGGTTCCACATGACCCACCGGGGCCAGTCATCGGCTAGGGCCCTCCAAAGGGAAAGTCACTCAGTCATTTCTGGGCAAAGTGACGCCAAGCCATTAGAAAAGTGGAAAAGTTGGAATCAAAAGGAGCAGAACCCAAAGTAGATGGGGGACACACTGTGAGAGTAGAAGAGATTTGAATGGAAACACACACCCGTTTCCTACGTAAGTACACACCTAGCAGTTGGCCTGGGCTAACTCGTTGAGCACATGTAAATAAGCCACTGCTCTGGGAGCACTGCTCTGGGAGCCCTGCTCCTGGTAGCCTTCCCCGCCACAAGTTCCCTCTCCTCCCTGTAAGCATTCTGCCTGTGCAAGCTTTGCACTTATTCTATACCATCAAAGAGCTAGGCGAGCAATAAGAATGACCGCTAGTCTCTGTCAGTGTTTCCTTGCAAAACAAAGCATAAAAAAAAGGTTGCTCCCACTTCCCAGAGAAGTTGGAGATCCTTGGGGCACCGGTGTGTCCTGAGATGTGACAGTAAAGAAAAACAAAACTCGGGACCCCGATGGCCCGAATGACTCAACCTCCGTATCTCACCTCTAAAACGGGAGCAAACCCAGTACTGCCACAGAGCATGCTCGTGGGTTAAACGAGGTAATACGTGCAAAGTGCCTAGCGACGGCCAAGGGTGAGCCGATGCGAGCAGGAGGGGAGAGAGGCTGTGGAAACAGCAGGTGCGCGTGCCCGAGGGAAAGACCCGGGAATGTGCAGGGGAGCCTTAGGGCTCCATCCGGGAAGGGGGTTTTGCAAAGTGAACGTCGTGGGAGGTCAAACCGCAAGGATGATGTAGGATTGGACTTGAAAGACGACTGTTGGCAACACATTCAAGGTGACCCGTCTTGGCGCTCAGAGGCAGACAGCAGCGGGACACATAGGATGGAACAGGCTGGTGCTGCTGAGAGGATTAATGGGCAGCTATAGTCCAAGATCAGACTATCCTGTGACTCCCCGGTACTGCGGGCTGAGAGGGGAGCCAGGAGGCGGCCACACACACACACACACACACACACACACTCACACACACACACACTCACACACACACACACACACACACACACACACACACACACACGCACGCACCCAGAAAAAGACATAAACATAGAGGCCAGGCTGCTCATTCCGTTGCTGTCTTGTCTTGCCTTGCAGTCTGCGTCACCTGAGCCAGCGTGTGCAGGGCCAAGCCCTAGCTGCTGTGCTGGCTGGCATCCTATGGACTGCGGGGGCCGCTCGGAAGGCCGTCCTCTGTCTTGTCACCGAAGACATCCACAGCACTTCCATTCTTGACCACTCCAGCGACAACTTCATTGAGAGGGTGAGTTCACCCCAGCCACTGTGTTAGCTGAAGGGTCAGTGACGCTTAAGTGTGCACATGGTCGTGGGAGCCCAGCCCCCACTGAGGACCCGGATTAACCGGAGGGACCAATGGCTGTAAGTGACTACTGGCGGCCAAAATGGCGCATTTCTCCTAAAGCTCGCTTGGATTAAGCACGTACCGCATTCTGGTAGACTTCAGTTCAGTGTATCTTAGTGGTAAAATACGCTGCTAGGCCCTGTGTTTGACACACGCCACCTTAAAAAAAGGATTCCACAGCTGAAATCAGCATTGACTGCCTCTATCTGTCATCATAAAGATAGTTAGACTCTACCTGGGGAAAAATATCCGCTGGTGGTTTTATTATTTGAGATATCATAGTGACTCAAAATTGAGGGCTATCACCTGGATGCCATCACCACCGGGCTTTACCAAGTGTGTTTTATGTGGCCTTGTGTTTGATGTCAGTGTTTAGCAATGCGATTTTGTAACGAAACAAAAGCCTCCCGTTAGGTAATGACAGCGACATGATATCTCTTAGAGATGCCTTTCATCTTCCTTCTTGTTTTTTCTTTATCTTCAATTCCTGATCTGCAGCTCCAACTGTTTGAGTTTTCAGAGAGAGAAGCCACTGAGAAATTCATCTATGATCATTTGCAATGTGTAAGTGTTTAAGTGTTGAGGTAATCTGTGTCTGTAGAACGGATCTTACAGAGATCTTCATTCTTTGCAAAGAGCGTATTTCCAATGGTGCTTGTTAAGAAAACCAGGTCGTTTCTGAGGGCTAAGAAACAAGAGACAGACATTTCGCCTTTCCCTCCTCACGGCCTGGAAAGAGGCCAGATCACACAGAGGCCACTCATGGATGCCTCCTCTTCTCCAGCTAATCAATTCCAGAAAATAGCACCTTTCAGGCCGTATACCAGGATTTCTTTTGAGAGGAGCTTGCATCATCTAACGAATAACAAACAAAATGGAGGAAAACTAAGCTATGTGAAAAATCCTTCACGTTCACTTCAGGTAAGTGACTTCCAGCCTGGCAAAGGCAGCTGCCTTTCATCTCTTCCAATGACACTGTCACAATATGCACCGCTGCACAGCTTCTTCCCCTCCCTGGGCAAGGAGGGGACAAAGTAGTAGATAATAATGGTAGGAAAGTGGAAGGTGTTTTTTAAAGACTTCTATCAAGGAAAAGAAAACGAAACATGGTTTTTCTGAAGAATCAGAACCCTACAGGGTAAGCAGAGGCAATTAGCAGACTAGCCGTGAAGCCATGAGCCGCAGAGAACACGGGCAGAAGTGAGATCTATAAAGCCCACTGCAAAGGCAATAGAGGCAGAGAGCTTAGGCGTGAGTGCTTACATACACACTGCCCACGATCTTGGCTAAACTGATGCAGACAGGCTTTCCATCAGAGGATCTGAGCTGAGGCTGCCAACACATTTCCCCATCAAAAACTAAGCATCAGGTAGGCATGAGTAGAAGACACCTTAAACCCACGAGGACTGCAGTCCTGGTGGAGAGACATGAGGGCCCCGCTAAGGAGGAGCAGGCACCATTTCCTGGGTGAGGGAGAGCCTCGGGTAAGGCTACACTGTAGTCAACAGACCTTAATCAAACCCTACTTACCATCAGTTGTATCTGTCCTGCGTCCCTTTCTATTTAGACATGCTCAGCCCCACCTCCTCGGTCGAGCAAAGTGCTGAGGTCCTAGCGCTCCCCCTCCCCTGCCCCACAAACATACAGACTGAAGTTCCTAGGAGTGGGATCTTTGTTTGAAAATGTGGTCATTTAAAGATGTGGTCAAGTTCAGAAGAGGTGAGGCTGGATCAGGGTGAGCTGGAATCCAATGATGGATGTATTTGCAAGAGGGGACATTTGCAGACTGCTTTGGGGGAAGAGTGCAGTGAGACCCAGCTAAGGCAGAGAGACGCCTCGGTGATGGGCCTGAGCACCAACAAGTAATGATGGCTTCAACAAGCGATGTCCGAAGACTCAGGAAGGACCTATCCTAGGGCCTTCGGGGAAAGCAGTGCCCTACGCCAAACCTTGGTTTTAAACTCCCACTTCCCAGAACTGTTAGGGTCCGGAGTCCGACTGTTCCAAGAACCAAGGTGTGCGGCTGTGCATTATTCCATTTAACCTTTGCAACAAATCCCGGGGAGAGAGGGTTGTAATATTTGCTGAAAGTTGCATGTAAGACTAAAGGAAACTAAAAGTAAAGGAGCTAATGGATAAAGCTGTCTTCGGGCACCTGTCAGTGTCAAAGCTCTTTCCGAGTCTCCTGCTCCTTCTGAATTCAATGGGGGCGACTCCGGACGCACAGTCAGCAAAGCAGGTCAGCGCAGCGTAACATCAACGGTCCTGCTAGGGAACACACCGTCTATCTTAGCCATGATGTAGAGAGAATCCCTAAATAGAAATAGGAAAAAGAAAGGCTAAGTTGAAGAACTAGAGAAGGTCGGCCCATTGGTGGGTTCCAAGCGAAGAAGGAAGTGGCCGGGAAGAAGACAGCCTCCACTTCTCCCTGCAGCTCGGAAGGGGTGGGCTTTTCTTAGATCTGACCTTGACGTCACACCCACCCACGCCCATGTGCCCTGTGTCTGCAGTGCTTCTAAGCAAAGACGTTGTTCTTGTTTTTCACAGTTCAAAGGGGAAGGAAGCCACGGTGTCATGCTGTTCCTGTACAGCCTGGTCTTCTCCAGAACATTTGAGAGGTAAATTCCACAAGTGTTCGCACGCGGTCATTGCCTACAGGATTGGGATCACATAGACATGGACCCGGTGGGAAGATGTTCTCAATCCATATTTTATCCAGTAGTTATCCTTCTGCCCACTCTGTTCTTTAGTTGATTCATCCGTGAGTAGGCAAGGTGTCTTGTGTGAATATTTTATTATCCACAAAAATATCCCCCTTGGATCCTAACTCCTGTCTATGCTATGCAAAGTTCTGTTCTTGGCACGTGGGACCTGTAAATAGGAGACAGTGAGAAGCTCATCTTCTGTGGGTTCCACTCTGGGGAAGATAAGAGACATACCCAGAAATAGTGGATGAAACCTAGGCATCCCTGACATCCCGAAGTGGCGTAGGGGTAATGACTCCTGGTAGATGATAGAGGCGGAAGGGTCCTGCAGTGTGCACAGAAAGTTTCACAGAAGAGGTAGACTTTCTTGCCGACTCTAAGAGAAGCACGAGGCTGTGAGGGTCAGACAAAGGGTAGGGGCTCCTAGGAGGGGAGAATTCCAAGGTCTCCCCAGTGTCCATGAAACTTGTCTTTTACAACAGCCACAGTTGCACGGGCTATGCTGGCATCTGGTTAGTAGGTTCATTTAAGTCAACATGTATTGAAGTGTAGCCCCGTTCCTAAACATGAATATTCTTCCCATTAGTATCTTCAATATTAATGAATAGGCCAATCCTTTGAGTCGTTTGCTAGGATAAAGATGTGCTTGGCATGCCTTCACAAGCCTGCAAACGCAGCCACTCAGGAGGCTGCGTGAAGGGGACCACAAGTTCAAGGTCTGCCTGGTTACAGGGTGAGTTTAAGGCCAGAATGGGCAACTCAGTGTGATTTTCATTCAAAATAGGGGTGATGTGGAGCCAGGGAGCTGGCAAGATGGGTCAACGGTAGAAGACACTTGTCACCAGGCCCTTGGCCAACACTGTCTGGTGTGACCAGGTGTCACCACTGTCAGCCGAGCATCTGCCACGGAGGATAAGCCCCTTCCTGAGGGAGCCCAGCACCGGTCTAGGGCGCACGCAGGGATTTCGTCGTGTGGTGCGCATGCGCCTTCTTCCTCTTCCCTCCCCACTTACTCCTTACGTCATCATCCAAACCGCAGCTTCTCTATGAACCCTGCAGCCCTGGTCCTGGTCCCCGGGGATGTCGAAGGCATGAGCAAGGGACAGTGGCCTTGCTATATGTGATCACTGTTTGGGGCCAGATGCTGACAGCTCCCCTCATCCTGCAGGCTTCAGAAAGACCTGGATTCCACCACCACCCATCTCTTGCAGTCCCGTGCGGGAAGCATCCTGTGCAGGCAGGTAGGCGGGAAGACTTCACGTTTCTTTCAGGGACTCTGGATCAGGCTTGCTTTTTAATGAGTCCGTTTTCTCCTTGAGCAAGACCTGGTCGTGCTGTCTTTGAAAGATGAAGTCATGCAATCTCAGTCCCTACCTTCCGGGCTTCCACAGTCCTTCCTACATTACCCACAAAAGCCGGAGATCTCAGAAACTGAGATCCTTGGCAAGACTCAACAGGTATCCCTAATATCCAACAAAACAAACGACAAACAACATTTTAGCTCTGTGCTTCGTAAGTCACAACAATGGAAAGCTCATTTAAAACAAATATACGGGAATAAAAGCCATTGAGTGGGTGGGAGGAGTGAGTTCTAGAATGAGACTCAGGGAAAAAAGAAGAACAAAAAAACAACTATGCTTTTTTTTTTGTTTTGGTTTTGGTTTTTGGTTTTTCGAGACAGGGTTTCTCTGCATTGCATTGGAGGCTGTCCTGGAACTCTCTGTAGACCAGGCTGACCTCAAACTCACAGAGATCTCCTCCTGCCTCTGCCTCCTGAGAGCTGAAATTGAAGGCGTGCGCCACCAACGCCCTGCCCACAACTATGGTTTTAATTCTACCAATTTCATATCACACATATGCTTTTACAGAGCTGTGTTTGCATAGCTGCATTCGTGTGTGTGTGTGTGTGTGTGTGTGTGTGTGCCTGAGAGGCAAGCCCTCTACCACTGAGGGCTTTTAAAAGAAGACAGTCTTCCTTTCATTGCTACCTGAAATGTAAATATTAACAAACTCTTCCATCTAGGCAGTTATAAACATGATCTTGACTGGGAGAGCGAGTCCAAATGTCTTCAATGGCTATGAGAAAGGAAACTCTGAGGAAACGTTACATGGAGTCCTGACCCGCAGTGATGTTGGCTACTTGCAGTGGGGGAAGGATGCTTCTGAGCACGACCGACTCTCGCAGGTTAGTGTGCTTTGACTCTCAACTCTAGAACCAGAACACAAGTACTTCCTCGTGTTTAAAGGCGTCTATATGAATTTAAATCTGAACCATTTTTCCCTTTCGGTACCTTTGGTAAGCCTCCCTCCAATCACTCACACACACGCACACACACACTCATACACACACACACTCACACACGCACACTCACACACACACACTCACACACACACACACACACACACACACACTCAGGGTCTTCATGGAAACATCCAAGTCTGTGTTCTTCATACTTTATCTCACATATTTTAATGCCTGCAAAGTATATCTAGTGAAAGCCACATGAGAACACTTATTGAGAAACAGTATTTGAAATACACGGGTGGATGGAGGCTCCCTTTCATGCCCAGGTAGCCACAGCCCCAGGAGTCCTCCGAATCCTTTATTTATGCAAATGAGTGTGCATATGCTTCCTGTTGCTGAAATACTAGAATAGAGACCCCCATTTTTTGATACGCCTGTCAAAACAGAGAAAAGCAGACAGAGAGTGAAAACACTTTTCCCACGCCACGATGTTGCTTAAGGGGCATTGAGCCAAAGTTTCCACCCTGCGAACAGGAGAGGCAAGGACAGTGGAAAGCAGCGGTTCTCTGGAGTAGCCTTGACACTACTGGAAGACAGTTCCCGCTGATGGGGGCATCCGTGTCCTTCCTGTCCTAACCTGGGTAGCAAACAAAGCCCTGCTCAGCACCTGTCCTGTCTGTCCTCTCTCATGGTCCTGCTACAGATACCCATCATGTGTACAGAGTTTCTCACAGGACAGCTTCAAATCCGTGACCTCACCTACCTCTCCACCTGTGTCCATGTGTGTGCTATTCACAAACCCAGCATCTTACACACGGGTCTGGGTGACATCAAAAAAATAGCCTTTGACCGTGGCAGGCTGGTAACTTTTATGCACAAATGTGTTTTGAAAGTTTCCTCATTGTTCCTTAATTGTATAATTCAGGTATACCATACCAAAAAAATGCCAAATAAACTAAGAGAAATTCCCTCACTCCCACTACCCAGGGTCCATCTTTTCAGAACTGCTCTGTCTCCTTCCCTTGCCTTTGTGCAATCCTCTGCTACTCTCCTGCAATCCTTCTCTCATTTGTCTTCACATGTTGGTGAGATTCTGGCCTTTAGTGCCCTTAAAGGCTGCAGAGAACTCACTACATGCATGCTAAAGACTAAACCCTGGTAGATCGTAGACGAGAGCAGATGGATTACAGTCATAGGCCCTTATCACGTTTCCTAGAAGAGCTGGAGGTTCACTTTAGACTTTAGTAAGTACGGTGAAGAAAACTCAGGCAGAAGTAAGGGTTCCTTTTGCTCGTTTTGCTTTTCTGATAGCCATATATAGTCACTACATCGCTATGGTCTAGTATTCTGTGTGGCTCAGAGCTCAGCAGTGTGCCAAGATTCTGTTTTGTAAAAAATGGAGAAATATGCTATACCATGTTCCCAGGATGGAGCACAAAAATAAAAATGGCAACAATTTTAGCGCTTCTTCTGTTATGACAAAGCTCTTTCACAGTATTGTGTTTTATAACTTGTGTCTTGCTCCTACGTAACCTGGGCTACTATCGATGCTCTTCCTCAAGTCAACTCAATTTGAAGACTGTTTTTAACCTTTACTCCTTTGTAGGAGTGAACCCCACAAAACTATCCGCCCAACAGGGTGGGGTCAAGGTAGATAAAAGGAAGTGAAAGGAAAAGGGGCTTCCATTTTCTCCTGGAAGCCAGCCACGCTTCTAACTCCTGGTCTGTGTGACTCTCTCTCTCTCTCTCTCTCTCTCTCTCTCTCTCTCTCTCTCTCTCTCTCTGATAAATAAATATATTGCTTTCCCTATATAGCCTCGATACTCCTTGGCGATATAAACCAAGAAAGTGCCTTTTCCCTTGTATGCATTAAACAAATGAACACTTGTTTTAAAAGTTTCTTCTCATGGCACTGGCTTCAATGTCACATGTCAGCAATGGACAATGCCTCCCATGTTTAGAAGCCTTGGTGCAAAGGCAGGGAATGCCCTACAGAAGTGGAAAATAATCCTACCCAGTAATCCAGAAATTGGAGACCTCAGAGGGGGAGACCTCCCGAACCGCTTATGCTTCTGAGTAGATGACCATTGAGTTCTCCTGATCTCTGGGCTGTAGCAAACAGAATCGTGCGTGTTAGTCTCTATGGGAAGCCAAAATGTCCCGCGCACCCATGAGACTCACCGGAGACGACAAGGAATAACGTTCAAAAGCTACGGTCAGCCAGGCTCAGCCAGCATCACTTAGTTGGGAGGATCTGTGTCCAGACACAAAAGTGAGTCCTATGTGGGCCACACGTAACATATGCTGATTGTTCTAGAGCAGTGGTTGTCAACCTTCATAACGCCATGACCCTCTAATAAATACACTTCTCACTGTGATAACCCTGACCGTAAAAGCATTTCCATTGCTGGTTCACAGCGGCAGTTTTGCTACTGTTATGAATCAGAACGTTAATACCTGCATCTTTTGACTGCCTGAGGTGACCCCTACGAAAGGGTTGTTTGGCATCCAAAGGGATCTTCACCCACAGGTTGAGAACTACTGTTCTAGAATGACGCATGTGATAAATGCTGGTTAACAATGACATCAACCTGGCTGTATGGGAAACCCACTCAGAGAGCTCTGGAAGTTATCAGTGCCTGGGGCACCCTCAGACAGCACTGATGTCATGGGTAAGACACTCGTGTTGTCACACAGAGCTCCACGTTGCGAAGTTTTTAGCAAGAGTACCTGCCTTTTCGGTTTTTTGCATGGGGTCCTATAAATGAAACGCCGTTTTGACTCCAAATGTTACTTCCTCTGAGGGACACTGCACACGTGAACTCAAATCTTACGGGTGACCCCTACCATCACTGAGGGCTAGAAACCTCTGTCCCACGTAGGCTTCTCAGCTTTGGGCGCTGGGAACGTTTGCCTGTGGCTGTGGACCTGTGCCACCCACTAGAAGCCGGTGGCTCCACCCCCAGGGATGGCAACCCCCAAACATTTGCAGACGTTTTCAAATGTCCCCTGGGGGTGATGAGGGCATGATTGTCCCTAGATGAGAAAGGAGGAAATTAAATAAACTCTTTCAGCTTCGTGATTAAATCCTTGGCGTGAGGAACTGGGAAGCCCGCTATTTCAACAGAAGCCACAAGCAGCAGCGTATCCTCTCTCACCAGGGCTGGCAAGGTGGGCAGCCTTTTGTTCCCTTTTTAACGATGGCAAGACTTTGGGAACGAGCTGCCAGCTCTATCTGAGGCTAAAATTGAGCAGGTGTTTGCAAAGCAGCAGCTAAGCTGGTATGAGGAAAAGGAGCACATGAGAGAAAATGCCACCACGGAGAGGTAGCGCCCATCAGAGTCAGGAATTTGCGAGGGATCCAGCACTAAACCAAGCTCTAAGGAAAATTACCTGCAGAGCCTAAAATATCCTCTGATAAGAAGAGGGTGTTTTCAAGGACCTTAAAGGCAGTTGACAGCACACAGCCCATAGGAGAGAAAAAAAAAAGCAAGAGCCTTCCCTCTTGGAAAAGGGCATGATGTAGGGGACCGCAGGGGCGCTATCCAAAGGCTTGCTTGCCAATTCGAAGTAGGGCAGAGGCTAGAGACTGCTTGGGGTCACTTTAAATCTACATCGAAATCAAATCTAAAATGCTCCCAGCTTTTGGGAAAGTGACTAATGTGACTTTTCATCCTGCTTTCCTGGACTCAGTGTTCTCTCCCCGGGGAGATGCCTGTAAATGTGCCCTCAGTGGAAATTGCCTGAAATTGTACACTAATGGCTTGAAACCCTGAGGACATTTATGATGATGTTTCTGTCATGCACTTGGAGTTTTTTTTTAATGTATTACAGAGCAGCTACAGGCTGATAGTCGGCTTACTTAACCCTCTGAAACATGGATATACAAAACACACACATACACAGTTGATTTTACATGAAGCATGGTTTCATTCTTTCCATGCCATCTCCCTGTAGCAGGACAATTCTCGGCTCGTGAAGCATTGATGTAATTTGGCACACTCACGTGTGTATTTCTCCCTACCCCTGGCAGTCAGTAGCGAGAGGACATAGTATGGAGTAGCCTCCTTCACTGTAGCACTGACAGCCGTGGGCAGAGAGCGCCTAGTTTTCCCAGACTTTGTGCTAGCAATGGACACTAGCTATAGTATCTTCCTCCACTTATAACTCAAAGCTAAAATCCTAAATCCAGTTTGTTCTCGGTCATTCAGTGGAGAGGTTAGAAAGGCCAGAAGGAGTTAGAGGACCTTGCCCAAAACCTTGACCAATCACATGTCGGAGAAAGGTTGTGAGACCTGTTCTGTCTACACACCCAAAGCTCACGGCCTCTGCTGTGCTTTGCCAGTCATTTTCCAATAAATTATTAATATACAAATACTAGTTCTTGTAACTGTTTGCTATAATTAGCACTTTAAAAGTCAGCCATAAATGCAGGTTGATCTTACTCCACCTTTAGTATTTCCTACAGATGCATTGGTGGTGAGCTCTAACATTTTGACAGTGGCAGGGGTTTTAAAACACATGGCAGTTGAGTCGTTTGACGCTAAAGCTGTTATGGGTTTATGAATGACAGGTACTTGGTCGCATGCTTTCTAAAGTGTTTGTCCCCATCTGACTTCTGGACAGGCGTATCATGTCTGTCAGGTGCTGTCACTTTATACCCTCATTAGGACAAGCTCACTGGTGCTTAAGACGTGTGCAAACCAAATTCCTGTGTGCACCGACTTAGTATTTCACAACATTCCAACCTGGAATGGAAATGCCTTGCAGAGCAGGCATTTGCTTAAGAGAGAAAGTGAAAAGGTTTCGGAGTGATGTCACACGGTGCTGGCTCGGAGACCCTCCACAGTCAGGGCCCCTTAGCTTCTGCTCGAAGGCACGATGACACTGCCTGAGACCCACATTCGTGCAACTGGGTGTGCATTGCTTTAAGAGCGTCT